TGTTGGTGTGAGATGATATCTCATTGTTGTTTTGATTTGCATCTCTCTAATGATTAGTGATCATGAGCATTTCTTCATATCATGCTCTTCCTTCTTGATGATCCTCGGATTATCGGTTCCTGAAATGAAAGGTTAACTACTCCCCCCTTTTAGTTATACATCCTCTACAATTATAGTTGTGACAATCACAATTAATCCTGCTAGCAATTACTCTCAAATGAATCATAAAATCCTGTCACCATCATCCCCCAGCCCCTTTCACCAGATCTATCTGGAAAAGAGGGAAACTGTTCAATGGGGATTCTACCTTACCCACCTCATTCTGAAACTAAGCATACTCATGAAAGTTTGTAAGTCAGCCACTTCATGCTTTTATAGCTCCTGACCCCCATTAGTCAATGGAGTCCTGGTGTGGCACTGTGGATCAATGAGCTGGACTGCAAAATCGGTTTGAACTGTAAGGTCAGCAGTTCTAGCTCACCAGCCATTCCTCAGAAACCCTATACAGGGTCACTATGGGCTGGAACCAACTCAATGGCACTTAACAACAACAATGTCTAAATTGCCCATCCCTATCAACCCAGTGCACTGAAGAAACAAGCTTGCTCCTTTATGTAAAGAATCCTTCCATTCCAGTTGGAACTGTGAGCAACTGTATCCATAAGCAAAAGTCTAGTTCATCAAATTGTAGCAATTTGTACTTGCTCACAGAATCAAACATCTTTATCTTCATTTGGTCAAGTTCTGGTCAGCTAGCCATCAAATGGGTACTAGCTGCAAGTTTGGGAGTTCACGCACAACTCCCTGCACTTCAGACTAGTTGGCTGCTTTACTTTCAGCCCTAGTCCCTAATGGCTAGGTCAGTGCCCATGGGCTCAAGAGTTCACACATCTTCCTAAACTTCAGACCAGTCAGCCCTTCCTCTTCTGTCTCTCATCTCAAAGTTAACAGGTGTCATGATCAAACTCAGCCCATGTCTTCAGTGCTACAGTGTTTTTTTATTGAAACACACAGACACCAACACATTTGAGGTGCTAGATGATGACCACCTACCAAGCCAGCCTGGGCTGGGGCATTCAGACACGTTTATCTTCAGGGCTTGGATGCTATAGTTTGAGGGTGCAGGAAGAGATGCTATGGGCTGGAGGTGGAGGTATGTGGGATAGAGAGGCTTGAGCAATGGTAGTTTTTATGCTTTTAGGGAAGCAAATGGAGTTGTCATTCTTCCTCAAGCAGGATTTGTTGGCCGTTGTAAATTACTTTCTTTTGCAAACAGTTACCTCAGAAAGCAATTAAATTTAGATCATATTGTTCCCAGGTTGGCACAGGCATGTGTTGACTTGCTGGAGCTTTGTACAACAACCAATGTCTGTAAGAGTATGCTGGATTGCTGAAGACCTGGGGGGCATGGGGGAAAGATTAAATGGAGGGGATTGTAACCATGGCAATGAGATGATATACAATAGAATGAATGTAAAACCAATGTTCTCCCATGTAAACTACCACATAATTCACAATAAAACATTAAAAAAAAAAAGGATGCTGGATTGCCTGGATGGCAGACTAGCCTGTTCCATGCTGGGATGATAAACTAGAGAGTTAGTCATCATTGAGATGTCCAGCCCAGGAGGGAAGGTTTGGCCCAAATTGTGACCCTGAAAGTAACTTCCAAGTCTCTGTCACCAACTGTGGGCACGATGTCTGGCTCGATCAATCTTTATAGAATGGACCAAGCTGGGACTAGAAACCCTTTTAGATTCATGATGACATTCCATCACCATGCCAATGGCATATGCAGCAGTGACTGCACAGGAGCCTACATCCCGCTTCCTTCATGCACACTTCCTTCCCTCCAATGTTACTCATCAATCTGTCCTAGGGCCGGATGAGCCCCACCTCACCTGCTATGCTTTCTCTTTATGTGCCGTCTGCTCTCCACCTACTATGGGTAGGAACTGGAGCTGGGATCAAACCCTGACTTGTCTGCCACAAAAGTTTCAGGTCTCCAGGAGGGGCGTTGTTGTTGTTGGAAGTCGATTCCGACCCATAGCGACCCTCTAAAGGGTTTCCAAGGAGCAACTGGTGAGCTTGAACCACCGACCTTGCAGTTCAAATGACTTTGCAGTCTGATGCATTAGCGTCACAGCAGGACTCTTCTGGAGGGGAGAGTGGCCTGTAAACTGGGAAATAGGATGCACTGTTATAATTGTTCTGGGTGGTTACTAATTATTGACAGTGATGTGTCTGTTACCTAATCTATAGATATGACTCTTACAAACCAACCTGTTATCAGGTAGACAAGGGGTTGATCCTGTCAAGGATTTATCAAAAATATTTGAGCACCTGCTATGTAATAGGAACAGGGTTCAAGTCCTAGCTAGCCACTTGCTAAGACCGCAGGCCCATATATTTGAGTTACTAGTCACTTAAAGTGGAAGCTCTGTGAAGGTTGGCTCAGCATCACCTCTTGCCCCTACTCTACTCTTAAGCCCCACCTTCATCTCCTTCAGGGGTCACAGTTCCCTTTGGACTGCTTACTTTGTAGCTACTGTTTCTACTTTGTCTATCTATCTCCATGACATCTACCTCTATCTCCATGACATATGTGGACATTGGCCACTGAAGCAGGCTTCCTGTCCCACTTTTTTCTGTGACCCCACAGAACCTAGACCAAGCACTTGCGAATTTGGATCAGAGTCATTCATTGTTCAGTGAACATCAGCCACCTCTCATTCTAGAGCGGGCTGGGTGGCAGTGGTTGTTGTTAAGTGCCATGGACTCAGTTCTGACTCAAAGGAGACCCTGTACAGGGTTTCTGAGGAGCAGTTGGTGAGTTTAAACCACCTACTTTGTAGTTAGCAATCCAGTACTTATCTTATGGCGCCACACTAGGACTCCAGTGGACTGGGTTGTTAAGTTCTGCCAAGTCGGTTCTGACTCATAGCAACTCTTTATAGGGTTTCTGAGGTTTTAAATCTTTGCGGGAACAGAAAGCCTCATCATTCTCCAGCTAAGCGGCTGGTGTGCTCGAACTGCCAACTTTGTGGTTTGCAGTCCAGTGCGTATCCTAGGGAAACGACCCAACTATTTTTCAAGTCTAAGTCAGAACCACTTTGCTCACCCCATCTTATTTCCACTACAGAAGATTCTCCCTCACCCCCAAAAGACTCCAGTTTTCCCTCCATGGAAATTAAAATACATGACGGCAATAATTACACTCCTGGTGTTCCCCTTCAGACTCTCTAGATTAGAAGGTTTTTTTCAAGCCCCTTTGTTTTTAAACCATAGGCCCCTGGCTACCAAAAGTTGGTGACATGAACCCTGCCAGATCGGTGCAGCAGAAGAAAGCCTTGGCAATCTGCTTCTGTAAAGATTGTTGCTGTTGTTAAGTGCCGTCGAGTCATAATGACCCTGTATAGGGTATCCAAGGAGCAGCTGGTGGGTTTGTACTGCCAACCTTGTGGTTCGGAGTCCAGTGTTGATCCTACAGCGTCACTGCAAGATTACAACCAAGACAATTCTGTGGAGCTCACTTTCACTCTGCAGCACATGGGGTCCCCACGTGTCAGAACCTACTGGCAATAGGTTTGCGTTTGGAGTTTTTAAACTGCCCGCAAAGGAGAAGCGAACTACAATTCCCAGCGTCCCTCATGCTTTAGGAGGCGAACCCTGCCCGCTCAAGCAAAACAGGACTCTCCAACTAGAGCCCAACGAGGAGCGGGGGCGGTGCCTGGAGGGGCGTGGTCTTCGGGGAGGTGGCAGGAGAGCCGAGTCGCCGGCTAGAAGCGCGGAGAGCGCGGCGACCAGAGAGCCGCGCGTGGCGGAGGATCCTAGGGAAGGGCGCCACGGAATCTCGCCGGGTCCATGGGTAAGAAGCATTTCTCGCGGTCCACCCCAGGACGGGACTCGGCCGCCCCCGGGGAGGTCAAAGGTCTCTCCGCCCGGTCTGGGGTTTCTCCGGCCCTCGTGGCTATCTGTGGCGCTCTGGAGAACGGTGCGGGGCCGGGGGTGGACTCATGGGCTAGGGCGCCGGGGAACAGTCCCGACCGAGTGCTCCAGCCCTCTTGCTTGGCACGGAAGGGCTGAGGCTGGGTATCTACGTGCTCTCTTCAAAAAAAAGAAAGAAAAAAGTTTTGGCGGCGAGGGGCTTCCCGGGCGTTGATCTCGAAACTTTTTTTTGCCGTCTCTTGACTGAAAGTTACCAAGTCCTGTACAGTCTGTCATCCCACTTCCTGCTGTGGTTTCAATCTCGAGCTGGTCTCAGCTAATTTGTTGTGACAGCTGTCAGCAGCAACTTCTCTATATCCCAGCCCCCCACCTGCCCCCCTCCCCCGCCCCCCTTCACATCTCCACAATTCTCAGAAACCCGCCGGCGCGGCCGAGAAGAGGCGCCAGGGTCCGCTGGGCGCGCGCGGGGCGCTTTCCACTGCGGCCGCCCGTTTCCTGAAAATGAGTCTGCTTGGGTTTTGAAGAACTTACTCAATGCACTTTGAAGAATCAACTGTTCCTCTTTCAGTCGTGGGGTGTGCTGATCTTTCAGCCGTTACGAGGTGTTCACTCCTAGCCCTCTCCCTTCTTGTCT